CTATTGTGAACAAAGCCACCATAAACATGGGTGTGTATATGTCTGCTTGGATGTCAGTCATTGTCTCTTTGGGGTATATTCCCAGCAGTGGAATTGCTGGGTCAAATGGTATCTCTATTTGCAACTTTTTGAGAAAGCGCCATCTCGCCTTCCACAGCAGTTGCACCATTTTACACTCCCATCAACAGTGAATAATGGTCCCAGTTTCTCCACAACTTTGCTAGCATTTGTTGCTTGCTTCTTTGTTGATTTTTAAAAGCATGCTTTATTGGTTTGCCTAGAATAGTTCATATGCATAGTGTTTTGTACATGTCCTTTGTGTTTTATGTAATTATTTGCATATATTATAGTTTTATATTATATAGTTTTTAATATACTTACTTATATATTTTATATAGCTAATTACCATTTATCTATGCCTATTAGTTGTTGTTGTTGTTATTGTTGTTGTAACAACATCATGCCTATTATTACTCAGTCTTTTCAGGTCCCCATTAAACCTTTCCCATTATTTCAACCTGCCTGCACTCACTAACCTCTGCTATCCCAGTGATTTTTCTGCCTTCCCCATTTCCTATCTTCCTTCTCTTCTTTCCCTTTTGAATTGTCATACTCATCTTACTCTGTTATCTTCTTATTTTCATGATAGTGGCCTTACACAATCTTTGTCTTTATGTGACTTGAGATAATTTACTCAGCGTAATGCTTTCTAATCTCTCCCAAGTACAAAAACTTTCTCTAATACAGTAAAGAGAAAGACCACAGATTTGGATAAAACATTTGGCAATGACATTTCAGATAAGGGTCTCATAATAAAAGTTTACAGAATACAGCAGGGCCTCCACATGAAATAGACTGATAACCCAATTACAAAATGGACAAAGAACATGGAAAGACTCTTTATAAAGGAAGACATTTGAATGACAAAAAAAACAATGTATATGAACTTTGTAAGTAAACCAGTATAAAATAAAAATGTTGTTCAAATACCCAACGAAACACATGAGGAAATTGTTCAAAGTCACTATCAATCAATCAGAGAGAACAAAGCAAAACAACAAAGAAATACCACTTCACTCCAGCAGTAGGAGCAAAGTTCAGTTAAAGAGCAAACAGAAAAAGTAAGAGAGGATGTGGATAGATTGTGCACTGCTTATGAGATTATAAACTGGTTTGTTAACTTTTTGTTGTAATTTGGCTGAAAGGTTACAGAGAAATTTAGTTTTTATGCTATAACATATGTTGGTGTTGATGTGTACCATTGAGTCAGAACTGAATCGTAGATCACCCTCCAGAAAGTTTTCAGAGGTACTTAGTAGTAGATGGCCCATCTTTCTCCCAGAGAGTAGCTGGTAGATTTGAACTGAATGCCTTTGCATTGGCAGCACAATTCCTTACCACTAAGCCACTAGAGTTCTTTATAGGAAACATATGCCTATTGATTATATCTATCTTTATCTCCCATAGGCATCATCATATAAATGGAGAAAAGATATTGACGCTTTTAATTATTTCATTTTTCTTGGATCCACAGTAACAGCATTGAAGAAATCAAAAGACATCTTAAATTGGGAAAATCTGTTAGCAATGATCTCTCCAAAGTTCTAAAGAGCAATGATATCAGTTTACTGATTAAGGTGAGCCTGAATGAAGCCATAGTATTTTCAATTGCTTCCTATGCATCTGAATGATCGACAATGAATAAAGATGACAGAAAAAAAGATGTCTTTGGGCTATGATGTGGAAGAAGAGTCTTGAATATCCCATCCACTACCAAAAGAACAAACAAATCTATCTTGCAGGACACAAAAGTGTGGTCCTTAGAAGCAAGGATGGGGAAACTTCATCCTATGTATTTTAGGCATGTTTTCAGGAGGAGCCACTTCTTGTAAAAGGGCATCATGCTCGGGAAGGTGAAGTGTCAGAGAAGGAAAGGAAGACTTCCAAAGTGATAGACTGTCATTGTGACTATAACAATGGGCTATTAGAGATGGTGATCATGGCACAGGATAGGCAAGATTTATTCAAAAGGTCAGTCACTATGAGTTACAGACGATGATCTTTCCCTTTTCCTTTACCTACCACTCCCAATACCCATTAAATTGTGTAACCCTATGATTAAACATCCCCTTCTCCTCACCATTCTGCTCCCCTCCCTGCCTTGGATCCTCGTACACATTCTATGGTAATGGTCTTGTTCTTATGCGACTGAGTTATTTCACTTAACGTAATGCTCTCCAGTCCCTCCCAAGTTAGGTAGTAATTTACTAAATCATTGCTCTTGCATGCTGCATAGTATTCCATTGTGTGAACGTACCATAATTTCTCAATCCATTCCATTTCTACTTTTATCTGAAAGGAATACACTCTCTCATTCACTCTACTTGCCTGTTGTGTCAGAACAGACTCTTCACTGACCCTGGAGTAGGTTTTTGGAGACTATGAAGCACACAAGAGAAAAAAAGTCCATCTTTCTCTTGAGGTGCAGCTGGTGGATTTGAAAGGCCTTTCTCTAAGATGGCAATTCAATTCCTATCTACAGGCCAGCAGAGCTCCCTTAAGGAATACAAGGATATGTAAAAAGTTGGCAAGGTTAGCAATATGGGGAGACAAACACTCTCAAGGAGAGATATGTGTGTGTGTAGACCTGGGTATATCTGTGTTGCACGCATGCACGCATGTATTAGAGAGATGCTCTAGCAAACACATAATGCATAATGTATTCTCTAGAGGCCATCCTGTGTAGTCTGAAGATCATTCCTACTTGACATAAATCATTAGGGTAAAATTCAGAGCTATTGACTTCAAATCGATTACAACTCGTGGTGACTCCACACAGGTAGAACAGCCTCCACAGAGTTGCTCCAAAGCTGTACTGTTACAGAAGTAGATCATCAGTCTTCTCTCTCATGACACCACTGGGCATATTAAAAAAAAACTAATCTTCTGTCTAATAATCAAACTGCAAACCACTGTGGCACCCAGGGGCCTCTACTGAAGAAGACTGTTAATAAATTGGAAGTTGCAGTGGCACTGTCAGTACAGCAGTTTGAAATCCACCAACAGCTCTGCAGCCTCTGCCTATTAAGATTCATCACCTCAGAAACCCAGTGGAAGGTCATGTCACTATGAGTCTGACCGACTCAAAGGCAGTGAATTAGTTTGTTTCATTTTTGTTTCAGTCAGTATTTTCCACTTAAGTTCAACTTGAAAAAGATTGCTTTTGCTCAAAGTGAGTTATCTGTGTATAAGTTTTTGAAATGATATACAGTCTACCGAAATTGCTTTTAAAGTTTTCAGTCAAAGGAAAGATCTGTTTGAAAGGAATATATGATTAGGCATTATTTGTATGACAACAGTCCAGAATAAGAGATGCATAGCACAGTGTACTGAGGGAGGAATGAGGCAAAGTGAGGAAATTATGCAACAATGAACGAATATGCTTTTTCATTTCTTTTTTTTTAAGTGAACCGAGGTGGGTAAGGAGGGAAATGTACAACAGTAAATGAATGAAAATCCAGCTATTCTGTAAACTTTCATTGTTAATGTTGTTGGTTACCATGTTGCTGTTGTTATGTGCCATCGAGTAGCTTGCGACTCATAGCAACCCTATGTACAACAGCCCGAAACTCTGCTCTGTCCTGGGCCAATCTCCCTGTCTCCAACACACCCATCCCAATTACCCCAGTCACTGAATCAATCCACCTCATAGAGGGCCTTCCCCTCCTGTGCCTGCCCTCCATCCTCCCAAGCATGATGTCCTTCTCCAAGGACTGGTCTCTCCTTACAACATGTCCAAAGTATGTCAGACGAAGCCCCAGAATCCTTCCTCCAAAGACCCACGCGGCTTAATCCTTTCTAGGATGAATCTGTTTGTTTACTTAGCAGTCCATGGTACCCTCAATACTCTTCTCCAACACCACAGCTCAAAGCCATCAATTCTCCCTCTATCCTCCCTAGTCATTCTCCAACTCCCTGATGCATAACAAGTGATTGCAAAGACCATGGTCTGTATCAGACACACCTTAGTCTCCAGAGAGACACCATTGCTCTTCAGTACTTTAGAGAGGTACCTAATAGCAGACTTTCCCATTGCGATACATCTTTTAATTTCCTGACTGCTGGTGGCAAGAGTATTGACTGTGGAGCTAAGCAGATTAAAGCTGTGAACAGTCTCAATCTCTTCACCATCCATCCTGATGCTGCCAATTGGTCCAGTGGTGAGAATCTTAGTCTTCTTGACATTGAGCCGCAATCCATACTGAAGGCTGCAGTCCTTGACCCATAGAATCAGAACTATTCTATAGCTGACCTTCTAGCGGGTTTACAGGGGCAGTTAATTGCACAAGAGAAGATTGCCCATCCTTTTTCCACAGAGCTGCTGGTGGTATTGAGTGCAGATTCTTGCCACTAGGACACCAGACCTCCCTAAACTTTCATTAAAATGTTAATTTAATTTAAAAGATAATCACTTAAATTAGTAAAAAATTCATTCAAATACTTGCATTTTTTTTTGTGCTTAATGCTCTGTGCAAATGAAGCCCCTGGATGGTACAAATCATTGAATGCTCAACTACTAACCAAAGGGTTTGAACCCACTCAGAGGTGTGTTGGAAGACAGACCTGGAAGTCTAGTTTACGGCAAAATGTTAAATCAATTAAACTCATTAGAATTGGAACTGATTTAAAGCTGAACTTCCAGCAGGTGGATGCAAACCAAGCACCTTCAGATTGGCAGTACAACCCCTTACTTACCCACTCATGCACTGAAATTCCTTTCCAAAAGAAACCTTGGAAACCTTATGGAGTGCGGTTCTCCATGTGGGCACCATGTATCATGTACCACCAACTGATGACAACTTACCACAACTGCATAGGTAAATAATTCATAATGTAAGATATATAGCCCATCAGAGGCAGTGACTGAAACTATTTTTTAAGAAGTTGGCATCATCTCTTAAATTAATTCATTTCCATAATCACTGGGCAGAGAGGCTTACCTGGAGCGCCACTCGTAGCACATGATGAGAACATCTTGGTGTGGTAGAATGTGTGGACACTGGCAGGATGAATTGGTAACGAGCAGGACTTGAGTTCGAGGGATGGGTAAAGAGGACTTGAAGATCTCTTTAACATCCACCACAGTAGTGACTTCATTGCAGCCGCTCCGCTGCACAGCTTTTATTTTGGCATGAATAGCTGCAAATCAAAAATTGACATACATGTTGAAATCTTTGGGGCAAAACTAGAGAAGTTATTATCACATCAACTGCTGATCCCCTCTAATATAATCACTACTATCATGTGGCCTAGGGGTGAGAAGCTGTGCTATAATCTTGAAGGCACACAGTTCAAATCTATCAGCTATTCCACCAGCTGCTCCACGGAAGAAAGATGGGCAGACTCCCCCAGTGCTATTAACTGCCTCTGAAAATCCACTGGACGATCAGCTATGGGTTGGCTCCAACTTGAAAGTAAACAACAACAATATCAATGATTATGGACTTGTCAAAAATGCCCAGATGAAGGCAAAAAATCCACATAGTCATGTCAAGGTAAGGCCCTCTCCCATTGTAAAAATTAAAAAGTTCTGAATCATACTTTCACATAAAAATTATGTCGATAAGCAGGTTTTTAGTTAGGGTCTTCTTTTGGGTCATTGATTTTTGCTTCTTTAGAATTGCAGATTGGATTTGAAGTGGGTAAACTAAGCCTAAAATTTATTAATTTACAAATTAGGTACTTTTCCTTTTTTTTCCTGGAAGGGTATCAGGAAACATTGAGTTACAACTCAATGCTAAGAAAAATTTCATAGAAATGTATACTTATTGGTGTATAATGTATCTTGTGATGACTTAAAATGTGTGTTGTATAGTCTCAGATAAAGAGGTCACCTTCTAGCTTTTATAATTTAACCTTCTATGCAGCCTTCAATACAGACTGAAGCTCAACATCAAGAAAACAAAGATTATCACCATTGGGCCAATTGGCAGCATCAGTATGGATAGTGAAGAGATTGATATAGTTAACAGTTTTAGTTTACTTGGTTCCACAACCAACACTCTTAGTAACAGCAGCCAGGAAAACAGGAGATGGATTGCATTGGGAAAGTCTGCTGTGAGGGACCTCTCAAAAGTACTGAAGAGCAATGACATCAGGCTGGAGACTAAGGTGCACCTGATTCAGACTATAGTCTTCACAATTACGTGCTATGCATTGGAGAGTTGGACAGTGAATAGGGATGATAGGAAGAGAATTGATGCCTTTGAGCTGTGGTGCTGGAGAAGAGTGTTGAATATACCATGGACTGCTAGGAGAACAAACAGATTTGTCCTGGAGAAGGTGAGGCCAGGAATGCTCCTTGGAGTCAAGGATTCTGAAGTTTCATTTGACGTACTTTGGGCATGTTGCAAGGAGGGACTGGTCCTGTGAAAGGGATATCATGTTTGGGAGAGTGGAGGGACAGCACAAGAGAGGAAGGCCCTTGATGAGATGGATCAATTCTGTGATTGGGATGGTGGGAATGAGTGTGTTGGAGACGGCAAGGTTGGCACAGGAAAGAGCAGCGTTTAGGGTTCTTGTACATAGGGTCGTTATTAGTCACAAGCAACGTGACAGCACATAACAAGAACAACAACATCTGGTGTGTGAACTTCCTTTACTCCTGGGAAAGCTATCAAGAGTCATAAGGCCCCTGAGTGACACAAACATATGCTGCTGGACTCCTAACCTCAAGTTTGATGGTTCAAACTCACAAAGCTTCCATGACAGAAATGCCTGGCATCCGTTTCCATAAAACCACAGCAAGAAAGCCCTGTGGAGCAGTTCTCCTCTGTAATATACAAGTTTTCCATGTTGTTGTTATGTGCCACCAAGTCATCTGCAACTCATGGAGACACTATGTACAAGAGCCCTAAACACTGCTCTATCCTGTGCCAACCTCGCAGTCTCCGGCATACTCATTCCCACCACCCCAATCACAGAATCGATAGATCTCATCGAGAGTCTTCCTCTAAACCCTGCTCTACCCTGTGCCAATCTCACTGTCTCTGACATATCTACCCTGACTACCCAGTCATTGAATCAATCCACCTCTTAGAGAGATGTCCCTCTTCAAAGATTGGTTCCTCCTTGCAATATGTCCAAAGTATGTCAGACAAAGCTTCAGAATCCTTGCCTCCAAGGAGAAATCTGGTTTAACCTTCTCTAGAACGAACCTGTTGGTTTTCTTAGCAGTCCATGATATATTCAATACGCTTCTCCAACACCACAGCTCACAGGCATCAACTCTCCTTCTATCATCCCTAATCATTGTTCACCTCTCTGATGCATAGCAAATGATTGCAAAGACCATTGACTGTATCAGACACATCTTAGTCTCCAGAGTGACATCATTGCTCTTCAGTACTTTGGAAAAGTCTCTAACAGCAGACTTTCCCATCACAATATGTCTTTTGATTTCCTGGCTGCTGGTACCAAGAATGCTGGGTTTACAAGGGGTCCTGGTACTAGGGATATTGTAGCTAATGTGAGATAGAGCTTGGCTGAAAGCAGAGAGTACCAGAGGAATGTCTATCTGTGTTTTATTGACTATGCAACGGTGAATGACTGTGTGAATCACAACAAACTGTGGCTAACTCTAAGAGGTGTGGGAAACCCAGAACACTTGATCGTGCTAATGCGAAACCTATTCTTGGATCAGGAGGCAGTAGTCAGAACAGAGCAAGGAAACACTGCGTAGTTCAAAATTGGGAAGGGTGTAGGCCAAGAATATGTCCTAGCCCCATCCCTTTTCAATCTATATGCAAAACAGATTATTCCGGGAGGCTGGACTGTATGAGGAGAAATGTGGCATCAGGATTGGAGGAAGTTTCATCAACAATCTGCACTATACAGATGATACATCCATGCTTGCTGAAACCGAGGAGGATCTGAAGTGTTTCTTGCAGAGGGTCAAGGACTGCAGCCTTCAGTATGGATTGAGGCTCAATATCAAGAAGACAAAGATTCTCACCACTGGGCCAATAGGAAACATCATGATGGATGGTGAAGAAATTAAGACTGTTAGCAACTTTAGTTTGCTTGGCTCCACTTGGTTTACCATGAGTGTGAATTAGTTCCAAACAATTGTTGTTGTTCTTGTTAGATGCCATCAAGTCGAGTACGACTCATAGTGACCCTATGAACAACAAATCTGAACCTTGTCCTGTCCTGGGCCATCTTCACACTGACACATTTGAGTCCATTGCAGCAGTCATTGTGTCAATCCACCTGGTTGAGGGTCTTCCTCTCTTTCTTATACCTCTATACCCTTCCAAACATCACTTCTTTCTCTAAGAAATAGCCCATCCTAGCAACATGCTTGAAGTATGTGAGGTGCAGTCTCTTTATTCCAGCCTCCAAAGAACACTCTGGCAGCACCCTCTCCAATACATATTTATTCATTCTCTTGGTGGTCCATGGGATATTCAGTGCTCTTCTCCAACATCACAGTTCTAAAGCATCAATTCTTCTTCTGTCATCCCTGTACATTGTTCAGCTCTCAGATACATAGCAAGTAATCTCAAAGACTACGGGTTAAATCAGACACACCTTAGTCCTCAAACTGACATAATTATTACTCAATAATTTAAAAATATTCCTAATTGCAGACTTTCTCAGTGTAATAATACGTCTCCTGATTTCCTGACTACTGGTACCAAGGGTGGGTCCAAAGAAGACGAAACTGTTGACAGTTTCAATCTCTGTTCCATTCATTGAGCTGTTGCCTACCTGTCCAGTGGTAAGAATTTTTGTTTTCTTGACATTGATGTGCAATCCACATTGAAGGCTGCAGTCTTTGATCCTCTCAACAAGAGCTTCAAATCTTCCTTACTTTCAGCAAGCAAGGTTGTGTCATCTGCATAATGCAGGTTTTTGCTGAGTCTCCCTACAATCCTGATGCCATATTTCTTCAGAATTATTCCAGACTCTGGAATAATTTGTTCAGAATACAGATTGTGTAGGTATGGAGAGAGAACCATGCAGTGTTCCCTTGCTGTGTTCACACAATGGCCTCCTGATCAAGGTACATGCTTGTAGGAACTTTTTATGATCCACAGTGTAAAATGACTTTGGATAGTCAATAAATCACAAATAGATATTCTTCTGGTATTCTCTGCTGAAAAGCTAGGATCCATTTGACATTAGCAATAATGTGCTATGGCCTCTATTAAATTCTATTTGACCTCCTGGCAGTTCCCTATCTATGTAGTGTTTTAGCTGTTTTTGAATGATCTTCAGCAGTATTTTGCTTGTATGTGATATTAACAATATTATTTGAAAGTTTTCACATTCTGTTGGATCACCTTTCTTGGGAATGGGAACAAATATGGACCTACTTCCAGTCTGTTAGCCAAACAGCTGGTCTTTGGGTTTCCTGGCATAGCTCGTCCAAGGATGCATCTTTTAATTGAAACAAGCCAATTTGTATTCTGTTGATTTCTGGGGCCTCATGTTTTGTAATGCCTTCAATGCAGTTTCTATTTCCTTCATTACCATTGACTCCTGGTTATATGGTACTTCCTGAACTTTTTCAGTGTCATTCAGTTCTTTATGGTACAGTGATCCTGAATTTTCTGTCCATTTTCTTTTGATGCTTCCTGGGTCATTCAATATGTTGCTCATAGCATCTTTCAATATTATTATTTGAGGTTTAAGTTTGTTTTTCTGATCTCTCAGCTTGAGAGATGCAGACAAAATTATTCCCTTTTTATTTCCAACTCCAGCTCTCTGCACATTTCATTATAATATTTTTCTTTGTCCTCTTGAGCTTCTCTTTGAAATTTTCTGTTCAGCTTTTACTTCGGTATGTTTTCCTTTTGCTCTAGTTAATGTTTTTTTAGTCTCTTCTCCAAACATAGGGTTGGTTTATTTAGTTATTTGTTGGTGGATTCTCTTGTTTTGGTTTGATTTTGAGTCATAACATCTTTAAATAAGAAGAAGCCTAGGGATTATTGAATTTAATCCCTTAAATATACTTTGAAAGTAAGAATCAAGGAGGATGGTGATTGAAATCGTTGTTATAGATATTATTGGTTCTGATCACTCTTTAAATTCTGACCTCCTTTGCCTCTTGTTTTACTCTGTCCCCATGGCGTTGTAATCAGTCTAATTTGGGCCTGTCTTGGATCCCATTTTAGGAATGGTTTATGAAGGAACTAAAAGTTTTCACTTACAAGGGTATTCTAATGCAAGAGAAACGATTAGCAACCAAGAATGAGTTTTGGCAAATGAGAGACAAAGTAAATCAGATTATGATATCTAAATAGAATAGGTTTCAAAAATTCCGTGAAAATACCACATTTAAAAATTTTGGTTGAATAAACTACATTGGCTGTGTTTGGTATTCAGATTTGACAGTCCACTTCAAATATTTTCAAGTTAGTAAGTAAATATGGAAATTTGAGTTATGACACAAATGAACATTTTCTCCAGATCATTTTCTACTATGACAACACATAATTTAAAAGATGCAATGAAAACATAATGTGGCAAAATGAGTATTTTAAAAGAAAGCCCAGAATTCAATCACAGTTGATCTTCCAGCAGTTTTCAGTCTGTAAATTGCAGAAGAGGAGATTGCCCATCTTTCTCACTGGGCGCAACTAGTGGATTCAAACCTTGTACTTTCAGCAACCCCTTACCCACTTTCCTTCTACGCCCTTCTCTATTACTCTTTTTTTTTTTTAAACCATTTGAAGAGTTAGTGATTTTTGCTTTATTAAGGACAACATTGTTTACTGGAAAGAGAAAGAAGGTAATTCTGAGTGAAGTCTCGAGTGGCACAGGAAAGAAAGATAAGGAAGAAAGATAGGCAATGTTTATTGCAAGGATGGGAGATATTCTTTCCGCCCCCTTGTTGTGTACATCAAATCAGAGCCAACTGGCACAAGGAGAGGTTACCACTCCTTTCCCAGCAGAGCATCTGGTGTAGTCAAAACACGTGACTTCAGGCTTGCAGTGCAGCTTCCTGCCACTAGGCCAGCAGAGCTCCCTTCATCACTCTTTTGCGCTGTATAATATTCATTTGTGTGAATGTACCATCATTATTTTAGTCACTCGTCCACTGAAATGAAAACAGGCTGTTTCCATTTCTTTGCTGTAAAGAACGTTAGAGTCAGAGAACAAAGTGAACAAGGTGTTGAAGACAGCAAGCTGCAGTAAACTGCAGTAAGAAGGACCTGTTCTTTATCTACCCTGCTTTTTGTCTGAAAATCACCACAGTAGAAGGTGATATCCATATATGGAAAATTTTCACTTCAGGAGAAAGATGGGCAATCTCTTGCTGTATGATTTACTGCCCTTGAAAACCTGCTGGAAGGTCAGCTGTGTTTCAGTTCCCACTTGATGACACTCAGCAGTTACCACCATGAACCAGAGGTGGTCACAGAAGAAGAAATAAAACCAGGGAAAAAAGCACATTAAATAGCTAACTTCTCCTCCAGTCCATAACAACTCCAAACCATAGGGGGCTCTGGTGGCCTAGTGTTAAGAAGTTGCTCTGCAATCCCAAAGGCATCCAATGGTGGAATTTGCCAGCTGCCCATGGGAGAAGGGCATAGTCTCCTCCTGTGTGATTTTCTGCCTTTGAAAACCCACTGGAGGGTCAGTTCCGGGTCCTTTATGGTACAAACAACAACTCCAACGACTGACTGTTTCTTAGACAGTATGTTTTATGTCTTTTTCTTGCTCCAGAAGACCATTGTCCTTGGTAAATTTTATTTCCTTTTTCCTTTCAATAATTTCCCCCCCCCCTCATTTCTGTGGTATTCCTGTGCTTGTGACAACCTTCTCCAAAAAGAACTTGCCAATACTCTCTAAGGCATTTGGCCATGAGCATTGTCAATATTGGTACTGACCAAGTGTCTGTCTGTGTCACAGTTTAGGTAGGGAGCTCTGGTGGTCCAATGACAAAAAGCTGTGCTGTAATTGTTAAGGCACATGGTTCGAGGCCACCAGCTGCTCCATAGAAGAGGGATGCGCAATCTCCTCCCATGGAATTAACTGCTTCTGAAAACCCACTGGAGGGTCAGCTATGGGTCAGTTCTGACTCTGTGATATACAACAACAACTACAACATACCAAGTAGTGAGATTGCTGCCCACTATTATAAAAAAGCTAAGGAAATATTTATACACAGATGTATACTAGAGATGAAGGAGTAAAAACTAATAAATAGATATGATGTGTGAAGGCAAAAGTAATATCCAGTATGGGGTAAGTCTGAGATTAAATTCACTTATTATATTAACCAATTATAATTGATAGTATTAAAGTGGGTATGAATGATTGACTGAAAACCCAATATGGCTTATCAATTTTCATTTAACTAAACAAAAACTGTGCACACTGACAAATATCATGATTGAATTATTTTTTAAAGAAAGTACTGAATGACTCCTTCAAATAAGAAAGAACTCAAGTAACTCATCATGAAATAAGAATTGACTCATAGTTGACCCTGCAGTGGTAAATTGAATGAAGACTTCCCATCTTTCTCCTGAGGAATGGCTGGTGGATAAGACAAATGATTATGAGAGAAGTGAGTATTTAATCTATGCCAGCAGCCTTAGGGCTTCCCTATTAACATACTGTCAAGTAATTTGAGATGTCAAATATTTATAGCTATTTTTATGTTAAAAGCACACAAACATAGGCAGGTCCTAAATATCTAGGTCTCAGATAGTCAAGACCACAGACCTGTCACCCAACGCTGTGTCCTGCTAGGCATTGTCTTCTCAACAAGACTAGAACGTGCATGAGCTCAAACTGCATCTGATCGACATAACTGCTCACATCCAGGTAGTTTACTTTGGTTTGGTTTTGGTTTTTTAAGGGGTTTTTTTTTGTTGTTGTTGTTGTTTTGGTTTTGTTTTGGGGTGGGTTATTTTTACTAATTTGACTGATCCATCAAAGAGAGAGAAGCAGAAAGGTTTACATTATTATTACTGTTACTATTACTATTATTATTATTACTAATTATTATGCCATCTTCAACCTGAAAAATTATTAACTGTCTGCTGTACTTTACAGCCAGCAGACATGGCCTTGACAGTGCAACTCCGTTGTGATTCCAACTATGTAAAAGAGTCAAGTCTCAAAAGATGACTTACCATAGCTGTAATTTTTACTCAGATATGTTGCCAGAGTAGGCTTCACCTTTTTGCATTTGCATCTGTCTAAAGAAGACAGAAAAGAAAGACATGAAAAGTTGCAAAGGGAACAGTAATTACTTTAGGGAGGGGAGAGAATCTTTAGGAAATAAGACCTTACCAGGGCTTAGGTGTTTACAGTCCACATCAAGAGTCCGTTCTTGTACCATCATGTCTGGGGTGACGTCAATCCACTTCGCATCTGAAATGCACATGGTGCCACAAGGACATGGTCAGTGGTTTGGCTGTTAACCCACAATAAGTTGAGACAAATAAGTGGGACAGAATAATAGAAAAAAATGATGACTCCATCAGCTTCTCTTCAGGAGAAAGATGGGCAGTCTTCTCCTATGGGATTTACTGCCTCTGAAAACCCACTGGAGGATCAGCTCTGGGTTGGTTCCAACTTGAGGAAACATAACAAGAGCAATAAATAGAAGGAAAACTCTGGTGGTATAGCCAGTAGGATGTTCCACTGATAACCCAAAGGCTGTGCCTCTGTGGCTGTTCAAATCCACCTGTAGCTCAGCAAGAGGAAGAGAAATCTCCTCACCTTTGATTTACAGCATCAGAAACCCAATGGAGTGCTAGTTATGAATTGGTTCTGCCTCTACCACAATGAGCAGTGAACAGTAAAAAAAAAAAAAATGTCATATGATTGCCACCTACTTGTTTCATATAGATTTCCCTGGGCTTAGAGTGAGGATGTTTATTATGAAATACAGGCTTCTCCTTGGAGACAAGGATTCTGCACCTTCATTTGACATACTTTGGGCATGTTTCAAGGAGGGAGAGGGACATCATTCTTGGAAGGGAGGAGGGACAGTGCCACAAAGGAAGACCCTGTATAAGATGGATTGACTCAGTGACTGGGATAAGAGAGGTAGGTGTGTCAAAGATGATAAATAAGGTTGGCTCAGGACAGAGCAGTGTTCAGAGCTATTGTACACAGGGTCTTTATGAGTTGAAAGCAACTTGAGAGCATCTAATAGTAATGCATGAAATATCCCTGACCTTACAGCAAGGAGCCCTGATGACACTGAACTGAGTGTTTGGTCACTAACTGAAAGATCTGCAGTGTGAATACACACCATTCTTCAGGACAAAGAGAAAGTAGTCTACCTCCGTGGAAATCTCTATAGGAGCTTATCTCCTCTATCATCGAATCACTATGAGTTGAAGTTGGTTTGACGGCACTGGCATGTGTGTGTGTGTGTGTGATGTGTGTCTGTATGTGTGTGGCTGAGATTTAGAACAGAACACTTTTGGGTGAAACTGCCAACTCAGTATGAATGAATGTGACCACACAATCATTTATCTTGGCAGAAAGGGAAGGATATACTGAATAATTCCAGACAACTCACTAAGTTTGTTTTAAAATACTGGTTTTTCAAGTTAACACTGACCAATTTATTTCCATATCCTCCTCCCACATTAGAGAAACAGTCTGCAACCAAAGACAATCCGACCCATCTCTGCCATTTACAAAGTTAAAGCAAGAAACAGATTTTCATCTTAAACTCTAGAATAGAGAGGAGTCTCAGTTTTCCCTCCCCTTAACCACCACCATCCTCCACGCTCTGAAAAAGGCTGTTTGAGCTCTGAGGCTGACTTCAGACACCACACTAAAACAACACTATGGTCTCTTTACACATGGACTAGCCAAGGTCAGGGAAAGTCTAGATAAACGAATGGAAAAGTATTTTCTGGTTTCATTTCAAGAAGTGAAGTTAACCCTATTCTTTGCCCCTCCAGAAAGAGTAAAATGACCAAAGTGGGGGGGGGGGGAGTTGTGGAAATGGAAATATCCCAGACAGCACCTTCTGATCCAACACTATGAAGTACATATACATGGTTATTCAGTAACAAATTTGCAAACAACACTGTTGGTGGGGAGTAAAGCTGTTTATTGCCTTTTCAAAACATTCTCAGGAATTAGTACTGAATAGAAGTATTGCTAACATCTGCATTGGGGGATCCTTTAGAAGATTAAGTGCATTAATATCAGTAACATGTTTTTAACTGAGGCAGCAAGTTCTCACATGTTTGCAATGGCTGTTTTTTTTTTAAGTATCATTTCAATTGTCATTGTAAATAAAAAAAAAGCAGCTACAATAGCATCCTTTGTAAGCAAATACCTTCCCTCCCTCCTTTAGGGGCTTGGTCTTCTTCCTTAAGCTTCTCCAATTCCTTGGAGGAAACCTGATGCCTTTACAAGTAAAGTCTTCCTCCAATCCCTGCCCCTTGGCCAACTTTACAAGTACGACTGGGGCTTATACTACTGGCTGCCAGCTGAAGGTGATGCTACCTGTTACTCCTCTCACCATAGAGCCCCTAGCGTCCTTGGTCTCCTCCCGCCTGACCCTGGCTCACCCTCCGGAAGGTCAGTGACAATGGCCTCGGGCGAGATGCACACTCCGCGATCATAGACGGGCAGTTCCTCGCAGGCTAGGCTCTCCGGCCAGCTGTGGTTGTACATCTTCATGAGGGGCTCACAGTCGTCGCGTGCGCGCTGGCACAGCGACTTGCAGGGTTTGATGGGGTCATGCAGGAACTCCAGGGTACAGATGGGTGCGTACATGGCACAGAGAAAGAAGCGCAGCACCGCGCTGCAGTTCACGTCCACCAGCTCCTCATACTGCTCGATGGCCAGGATCGCGTTCTCCTGCGTGCTGTGGTGCAAGTGGTTGGGCATCCGCGTAAGGTTCCAGGGCATGTGCCGGCACATGGGGATGCGCACCGCCTCGCAGGGCGCACCGCGCACGCCCAGCGCCAGGCGCAGCCACAGGCAAAACAGGGCAAGAAGCGAGAGGAGCATGGCACTTCCCTCCAGCGCTGCAAGCCCCACAGGCAGAAAGGGCTCTTTCTTTGTCTCTTCGTTCTTTGAAGACTGTGTCCTTTGAGGGACAGGACAGATTTTCTTCCTAAACTCCCATGGGCAGCAATGCGAGAGTCTGGGTCTGGTGGTGGATATCTGCCTTTTAGTGCACAGAGCACCAGCAGCGTCTTCCTGGCGCCTTCAATGCTTCCACAGGTCCAGGCAGCTCCCGCTCGGACTGTGGAGCTAAAAGCGCCCTCAGCCACGGCCATTGCAGGACCCTATTTATCCAGACACCTCCCCTGACGTGTGCTCTGAAAGCTCCTTTGGCAGCTGCAGGCTCAGCCCTGCTCCCAACCCCCAGACCTCTCTTTGCCGAAGTGATGACATCATCTCCTCCTGGTCCCAGCCCAGGGTTGGAATCTTGCATTTTCTCAAAGTCTTTCTTTTTTAGTCTGGCCAGTCCTTTTTCTTCGGACCAAGGGGAGGAAGGAAAAAAAAAGCCTCTGGCAATAATTTTGGGCGCAGGCTCCAGAAGAGTGCAAGAAAGGGTTTCAGAGGAGAGAGATACTCTTTTGGGTCAAAACTGAACTTTGTCAGTAAGTTCTCCGAGGGTGCAGCTGGAAAGCCTAAAAGCCAAAGAAAACCAAGCCTAACCTATTGTGTATCAAGTGGAGCCTGATTCTGAGACTTCTGGGCCCTTTAATTCTGCATAATTTTTTTTCTCCTGTAGAGGGCGTGAGAAGCACTGAGGATACTGAGGGGAGCTAGAGTGAGTCTGAGTATGGCGTGTAATTAATGAAAAAGATGATAGTTAAGATTCACAGCCTCAGAAATGGGAGGGAGGATGGTTGCTAGGAGTGGAACGGACTAGATGGCAGTGGGTTTGGTGTGGAAGAATGCAGCGAAGCTTGGAATGTAAAGGACACATTATCTATGCCTTCTCTGCTCCCCTTGCTGTCTGGACAGGTTTTGCTGTGGCTGTCTTTATGGGTATGTGCCATGGAGTCCAGTGCCACTCGACGAACCTGTGAACAACAGTCCTGAACCCTGCCCTATCCTGTGCCATCTTAATCATCTTTGAGACACGTGAGCCCATTGCTCTAGTCACTGCAAATCCATCTGCTTTAGGGACTTCTCTTTTGTTGATCCTCCATTTTTCTAAGGGTGATATCCCTTTCCAAGGAATAATAGCCTCCCCTAGCAATTAAGTAAACTTTAATTTTGGCTCAAATTCTTTCAGACTGGCCCTTCATTTGTACCTGCTCAAGGAGTTTGTACCAAGTCCCAGAGAGTGCAATAGCATCTTCTAAAGAGAGGCCATCGTTCTACCAAGATCTTCTCTTTCATCTTTTTTTTTCTTTTTTTCTTCTCTAAACCCCTTTCCCTCTCCAAAACAAACAAAGCCCAAAAGAAATCACAATCTAAAATTCTTTCCCCCCCTCCATTCATGCCAAGACATTTCAATCCAGCAGCCTACTATCTTGGTTTCTGATGTGCTTGGAGATTATTTGAAATGATTGAGTCTTAGGTCATGGAAAATAAATATGTATATTTTGTTTTCTCCTAGATCTTATTTCTGTTACTAATACGGAAAAATTCCTGGTGGTTCAGAGCTTAATGCATCCACACTAATTCAAAGAGCAGAGATTTGAATCCACTAGCTTCTTCGTGGGTCCATAAGGTTTATAGCTATGGAACCCCATAGGACAGTTGAACAGTTTTATACTCTTTTAAAGGATCAGCAGAAATAGCAATTGATTTGAAGGTAGTAGATTTGGTTTTGGATCGTTGTTGTTATTGTTGTTGTTGTTGTTAGAGAGCAGTACATCAACAGAGAACAACCAGAAAAACAATCTGGACCCAGAAAAGGCTGTGTCACTAGAGATATCATTGCTGATGTCAAATGAATCTCGGCTGAAAGCAGAAAGTACCAAAAAGATGTCTATTTGGTTTTTTGGTTTGTTTGTTTGTTTTACTCTGTAAAGGCATTTGACTGTGTGCACCATAGCAAATTGTGGCTAACAAAAGGAAGGGAATTACAGAACACTTGATTGTGCTCATTTGAAATCTATACCTATACCAAGAAACTGTGTCTGAAAAGAACAAGGGAATACTGCCTGGTTCAGAATCAAGAAAGCAATGTGTTTGAGATGTATCTTTTCTCCATACCTTTTAAATCTATATGCAGAACAGATCATTCAAGAGGCTGGACTTTATGAAGAAGAATGTGACAATGTGATTGGAGGAAGACTGACACACCTACATTATACAGATGACACAACTTTACTTGATGAAACTGAGGAGGACTTGAAGCATTTGCTGAAAAAGATCAAGGACTGTAGCCTTCAGTGTGTCAAATAAACAAAAAAATTCTCACATTAGGCGCATAGACAACATGATACGTGGGGAAAAGACTAAGGTTGTTAACTATTTAAACTTGGTCATATCCACAATCAGCATCCTTGGCTCCACAAATCAGGAAATCAAAAGATGAGTTGTGTTGGCAAAATCTGCTTTCGGGGACTTCTGTTAAAGAGCAATGATGTCACTCTAGAAACTAGGGTGCACCTGATCCAGGATATGGTCTTTTCAATTGCTTGTATTGCATCTGAGAGCTGGATAATGACTGAAGAATACAGAAGAAGACTCAATACCTTTAAGATGTGGTCCTGGAAAAGAGTAGTGAATACCATGGACTGCCAAAAGAACAAATAAGTCTGTCCTTATTGAAAGAATGAAACCAGGTTGCTCTTTGGAGGCAAGATTTTTGGGCATATTTTGGACATATTGTCATGAGGGGCTAGTCCCTGGAGAAGGATACCATGCTTAAAAGGTTGAAGGGCAAGCACAGGAGAGAAAGACTCTGGATGAGATAGACTGAGACAGTGATTATGGCAATGGGGTTAGATATGCCAGAGACAGTGAGGTTGGCTCAGTTCAGAGCTACTGTCCTTATTGTTGCTGTGCATCATGACTGATTCAATGGCACATAACTTGAATAATACTACACTCATTAAATGCATTAATTTATCTTTTTTATGAAATATGAATTTAATGTGGTGTTACTGCAAGTTAAAAAGATAAATGCATACACTATAGAAGAAGTCACTCAGAGTCAGATCCCATTTTAGGGAAACCCCAGAGTATCCTGATATAAACAGACAATCTAACTAAAAGGCTGATAGTTTGAGAATCCACCTAGAGGTGCCTTTGAAGATAGTGTGGCAATCTAATCCTGAGAGGACACAGTCTTGGACCTTAGAAGCAGTTCTGTTTTGCTCACATGGGTCAGAATCAACTGATAACACCTAACAGGCAGCAAAGATACCTTATCAGGCTAGTGAAATATTGAGCAAGTGGGTAGACCAGATAAGAGGTAGTTTAAGCCATTTTCAACTGTAAAATCCAGGTTCCCATTGATGAGAGAAGCAGGCTGAGAGGCAGCAGGAGATCCGGTGAACTGGTCTTCCTCTTCATGTGGGTCAAGGAAGTTTTATGTCTAAAATATTCATTACATTTCTTTTTCATGGATGTCTGGGATTCATCCATAGTCCTCTTCTTAGTCTCCACACTTCTTATTACTCCAACTTTTTCCACCCCAGCACTGGCACTACTGACACAAGGCCTGAAAAGTCTTTCATGATTGAGGGTGGGGGGCAGGTAAGTACTTACAGGGTGGGGATGAGGTTTGCCCCGTGATTGTAGGATTGTATAAAGGTTAGCACTATCCCTGGCCTCTGCCACTAGAAGCCAATAGTATTCCCATACATTGTTTTAATATTCAGAAACTTCGGTAGATATTTCCAAATAACCACTGAAATGCATAATCCAAACTCACTGCCCTTGAGTTGATTCTGACTCAGTGACTCTTCACTGGGGGTTTCTGAGGCTTTAAACTGTAACTGGAGGGGACTGTCTGTCTTTCTCCCTTGGAACCCCTGGTGGATTTGAACCACTGAAGATGGAGAAGCATGGCATTTTGGTTAGCAATACAATACACTATAGTCTTTGCCACCAAAGCTCCTTAAATGACCCCAGGGGACAAAATCACCCCTGATATCACTACTCTGCTTCTTAGGGTTCATTTACCACCTACATGATTCCAAATTCAGATCTTTGGAACACTTCTTTTTAAGCGGTTCTAGTGGCTTAGTGGTAAGGAGTTCCATGGAATGAAAACCACCAGCTGCTCCACAGGAGAAAGACAGACAACTCCTTCCTGTGAGACAAACCGCCTCTGAAAAAAAAACTTGCTGGAAGGTCAATTCGGATTGGACTGAACATGACAACACACCATTTCTAAAAAAAAAATGTTTCCTAGAAGTGTTAATTCAGATGTGCCTCCATATTCCTACCTGGATATTCCATGTATCTTGGATCCCAGCAGCACAAGGATCCCATGTGTTGGGCTGCTAACTGAAAAGCTGGTAGTTCAAACAAAACAGCTGCTCTCTGGCAGGGAAATGAGGCAGTTTACTCTATGATGTGGAGCCTTAGAAACGGCTGTTAATTGGAATCAGCTCTGTGGTAGGGTCTTTGAGTCCTGGTGGCACAGTGGTTAAGTACTTGGCTGATAACCAGAAAGTTAGTGGTTCGAATTCAATCAGTCACTCCTTGAGAAAAAGATGTGCCAATCTGCATGAGTAGACCTTTTTGGAAATCCTAGAAGACAGATCCACTGTGTCTTATGAGGTCACTCTGCATTGGAATCAACTCAAAAGCAGTGAATGTGGATCCTACATTTCACTAAAATTCAAAAACCAAATCAGTCTGCACTGAGTTGATTATGACTCCTGATAGAATTGCTCTCCATGGGGTTTTCTTGCTCTTATAGAAGGAAATTGTCAGGTATTCCTTCTGCTCTGTGGGTAACTAAGCCATCTGGCAGCATTTAGGCTAATGGAGAGCAAAATAAGAACGTTTGCGCCACCTAGAAATCTGTAGCAAACTTAACAAATCCTAAACTTCTCTTCTTACTGGGGGCTGAACTTCCCTTGAATGGAAATCCTTCTCCATTGTTCTCAGCTCTGTTCCACTCTTCCCCATCCTGTCACAAGAAGAAAATTGTCTCTTGCCTAGTTTATATCAACAACTTCTTATTTGCTCTCTTGCTTTCTGTCCTTTATACTTTGCTGGTTTCTCCACTGACACCAAAGTGAGTTTTCAAAGGTGCATATCTGATGAAGCCTCTTCCTAGACTTTAACTGATCAATAATAGCACCCACAGCATTTAATTTCTTCCATTTAATTTAAATTTTCTACTTAAAAACTCCTAATAATCTCCTTGCAGATTACCCACAGCCCTCATATTTGAACCCAAACACTGCATCTCAATGTTTCCTTGTCCTTTATTCTGGAATTTTCTTCCTCCCACTTTCACCTAACTCCTTTTTCCTCATTCTTGGAATTCAATTCAAAGGAAAAGACCTGGAAAACAAGGATTGCCTTTGTTTTGGTAATGTTTCACCAGGTCCAAACACTACAAGCATAACATAAACATTGACGTTTTCTTGAAGATGCTAAACTGCCAGACAAATAGACCTCCAGACTGTGGCTTTATCCAGAGATAGAGTGGACAGCAGTCTCCCCAGAGAGCCCCCTTCTATTCTTCTCACTCCCCTTTCTGAACTAGGAGTGGGCGCTGGGAAGTAGCCATAATGAATGGCTGGGATCCTTCCGTCAGGAAATGATCCTTCTTTCCACTTTTAATCTGCAGGAAGAGGTCTGCAATTTTGGGAAGGGGAAGATGTATGAGGGACACAGAAAGTGCAATGGTGCTGCATCTCTAAACTTGACCTTGAATCTCTCCCCCAGTGTGTCCTTAGCACACTGACTGCCATTAGAGAAACATGTCTCTTGTCAGCAGTCCTTCTCTCTTTTAGAAATGAGGTGACCTGCAGAATGCAAGTGGCATCCCTGCCCCTGCATTTCCTGTTGGCAGCAAAGAGCGAGTGAAAACAGAAACCGCTGCAGGCGGTGGCCGAGGCAGAAATAGCTCCGGAGCTTTCACCAGAGATTCCCAGGCCCAGGCTCAGACCTCCCGTGCTGGGTCCCAAAAGCTGTAGAGGCCACGCAGTGACAGGAAGCCAGGAGGCGCAGACTCAGGGCGGGGCGCCCCCGTGAGCATAGCCTCGCCTTACGGGGGCCACAGGCAGCGATGTTTGGGCGCAGGGGCCTCAGCGTGGCGCGGAGCTACCCGGGGACCTGGCTGCTGGGCGGCCTTTGGGTCTGGGGACTGTGTGGCTTCTGCGGGCTGGAGGCCGCGGCGCTCTGGGCCCAGGGCTCCATAGGGACCCCGCGCCCGTGCCAGGCGCCCCAGCAATGGGAGGGGCGGCAGGTTCTGTACCAGCAGAGCACTGGCCGCAACAGCCGCGCCCTGCTGTCCTACGACGCGCTCAACCAGCGCGTGCGGGTGCTGGACGAGAGGAAGGCGCTCATCCCCTGCAAGAGGTACGAGGGGTCACTGGCCAGGAGGCCGGGGTGGGGGCGCGGGGTCTGCACTCCATTTCCGCTTCCTGCATGCAGGGGCCTCAGAGTGACCCACCCTCCCTTTCAAACAGAACCTGGAAAGGGCATAGACCTGTCCTGTGCTGGAGAGGAAAATTTAGCTCCCGTCTGGGAGAGAGGTCTGAAATGGCAGAAATGGCAGTGGCCAAGGGAAATAAAAAAACTGGGCAAGGGCGGGGTTGCACTGGAGGCGCCCTAATACCCTATTCCTTTGGCTTCCACCAGCTGCTGAGTCACCCTCCACAAGTGGGGGGCCCCCTTAACTTGTGGTGTGTTCTATCTCATCTCTTCCAGGGGTCAACTTCCTGGGAGGCATGCAGAGAAAAAAAAAAGCATAAAAATGTGTGTGTGTGTGTGTGTGTGTGTAGGTGTGGGTGTGTACACATATACTATATTTTAACATACATACACATAAGTTTTAAAACAGTAGGACAGCACTACTAGTATCACAGAAAGTTTCTCACCCACAAACCCTGTTACAACTTGTCTACTATTAAAGTTTTATTAAATTTTACTCGCTATAATCAAAAAGGATGTGGATTCTGCTTCCTTTTTATTTAACGTGGTTTCCTACCTGCTGTGATGTTCCACATTTTGACCTAATGCCAAATTTTAATAACCACCCAGTAGGGAGTTATGGTGGCCTAGTAGTAAGAATCTGTGATGGAATCCTGAAGGCATGTGGTTCAAATCCATCAACTGCTCTATGGGAGAAGGATCTTACTGAGTGACCATTGCCTTTTTAAAATCCCCTGGAGGGTCAGCTGTGAGTTAGTTCAGAAACTAACAGCAGTAAGATACAGAGAGATTGTATGGTAATCTTTTTTAATGATTGGTCTGATAATTCCCCTCTCCATGCTTGTAACAGTGCATACCTTTATTTTGCGCCTGACTTATCTAGGATCTACTTTCTATCCTGGGATCAACACCTGTTCTCTTTCACCACACAAAGCAGATAACATCATTCTCCAGTTTTATTTGCCACTGTGTATGGTATGTGCATCATAATAAAATTTGCTACAAACACACACAATATCTATGGTTTAAGGCTCTAGGGATAGTTAAGAGGCACAACAAAAGGACACTATGAACTTTTCTAGAACAACCCAATGGGGAAAAAACCCCAAAACACTTGATAATATGATTTCATCAAACAACATTTATTGAAGTATTAGTTATGCTGATGAATGGATGGAAGCAAGAGAATATTTTAATGTAATATGCTTGAGAGTGTAAGGTAGTGTATTATGAAGTTCCACCTATGGGAACTCAGGTCACACAGCTGAGTAGGGTCCCCCAGGTGGATCGATAATATTTTTGAAGTCTTTCTAGAAATGAGTGGTTTCTATTAAGCCTTGAAGGGCATAGCAATGGTAATATCCAATGCTGGAGTACTTGTTATGTACCTAGCATAGTGTTGAGAACGTCACATGTGCTGCGTTATTTAAATATCACAACAAATGGGATGTATGTGTTTTTACTCTGTAGACAATGCAATTGATTGTAACTGATATCCAAGGAAATGGAACTCCATATGCCCAGGAAGTTTGAACAGAGAATCTCCTGGTCCTACACTAACAGACCATGTTTTGCTCTACACCTTTCATTGCCTGAGTTTGGAAATCAGATCATCAGACCTATCTTCTTGAGTTTTGGGAACTCAGCCAAAGCCTCTCCAGCATCATAACAATACACAGGCCACCATGGTGTGATTCACTGATAGATAGGTGATGGCTGAGGATGAGTCAACTCAGGTCTCCCACATGGAAGACAAGTAGTCTGTCACTGGATCACTGATACACATTAAAAAAAAAATCTACACAATGTGACGAAGGTCAGTCTGAGTTGTTGTGAAAGTACTTCAAATGGGCACCGAATCCAGGCCAGGCTTCCTGGAGGAAGTGAAACTTGGATGTGTCCTGGAGCACCTGACTGTGCTACCGGGAGAGGTGTAGAGGGAATGGTCCAGGAGGAAACAAATGTTTCTTAGGGTCTACGTGTGTGTCATCTCAGAGAGTGAAGAGCTCAGTATGTTCACATGTTACAGGCCAGCCATTATCAGGTTTTTCAAGCAATAGAAAGCTGTGATTGGTTTCTATGAATACAATGTGAAGAATGAAAAGCATGAGAGCAGAAACATGGCTTAAGAGGCTACTGTGGGAAGATAGGGTGTGGCAATAAAGATACCAAGAAGGAACAAGTTAAGAAAACACTGAAGAGGTTTATTTGAAAAATCCTCTGCCCAATAACATAGAAACGGACCTGGGTAATTTAGAGAAGGACAAGCAGTTTTCGGTTGGAATTCTATTGTTACTGTTTAATTTTTGTTTTCTATAATTAATAATAATAATAATGACTTTCATTTTACCAAATGTGTGCCTTGAGTGTCCGATGATATCACAGATGACCACAGCATCCACATAAGCATTGATTCCAGCCTAATGGTTGCCTGTAACTTTGAGACACAGCCTGTCTGCATGGGACAGGCAGAGAGACAGACAGGTATACATAGTTATGAAAGCTTTATAAGACTTGTAAAGACTGGTTTACTTCATCTATGAAATGGAACTCTTTTTTTTTTTAAATGGAACTCTTAATAATGCCTATATTTGATTGTTGTGAAAATTGCATGAGTTCAAATATATAAAGCACGTAGTACAATGACTGGTACATAGAAAATGCTCAGTACAGGCCAGCGATTATGCCCATCTTCCCTATCTCCATTATCCTTGTGAATTTGCCTTGGATCAGAGGCTTGCTGTCAGTATTATGAGCTCAGAAACTTGGGTCCTGAGCACACACAAGTCTGCTTTCCTATGGAAGAGGACCAGTAGTAACAAAAGCACACAAGTTAACTCTAGATTTCAGTGAATTTTATAGCTGGTGTGATACCCAGAACTTTAAAATCTAAAAGACTAGGTTATTTTTTTCCCCAATAGACAAAACTATATGGGGAGCCAAATGACAATCAGGAGGCTGTTGGTTTAACAAAGAATAGGCAATGTTGGACATGCTAGACTAGGCAGTGTTGTCGAACTTTTCATCATGATGTTTAGTGGTAACCAAGCTAAGGGGAAACGATACATCTGTCATAATAAACATCCCGTTTCATGACTCTGTGCTGCCCCAACTCACTGGGCAGGACTCTCTCTACTCTGAATGGAGCCTCCCTTCTTTTCCTATGACTTCGTTATTGTGTAAAGACGGACAAGCTCCTGCTCCATGATGTGCAGCCTCAGAAACCCACTGAAGGTTCAGCTGTAGGTTGATTTCAACTAGATGACAATGAAAAGATGTGTACATTAGGGCTTTTGATGAAATCACAGCCTCATCTTGCTGGCCTGCAATCTTTTTTTGTTCCCTTATAGTGATTTTGCATGCTGCTGTCCTACTTTATCATATGCTAATTTTACAGTATTAGTTTTAGAAGTCAATTTTATTTTCCTTCTTTTTAATCTCTTGGCAAGAGAGTCTGTCTCACAATCTCATTTCTGGCTCAAGGCAGCTGTACAAGACAATCTCTAGCACATAAATGCATTTTTAAGCTCTTTGAATTCTTGGAACAACACAAACAACTTTTTCAGGTACCACCAGTCTGGTCTGTCTTAGAAACCAGATGTTACTTGATGAAAATATGGATGAGTTGTCTCTTCATATTTATTATTAAGCTGAGAAGTCAGTTTTAGAATTGGATCAACATCTTAAGATTTTAATTTTGAATACTGATAGTTATGGAAAAATCCCACTGATAGTTATTGTAGAATGACTAGGATTTTCCAGGCTCTCTTTTCCTTGAAATGATGGAAATGATTAAAAAACTTTACAAGCTTCAGATAAGACAAGCCTCAACAGAGAATGGGAAATATTAGTAATTGATATTACTTTGTTTTCCATGTGTCTTTCCTGAATCCTAAGTCTTACTTTTAGAAGACTGAAGGGGAAAAAATCATATTAGTTTTTCATTCAGCATGCTGACCTTTAAGAGAGGCACGTTAAGGAGGACGGCTGATGAAGCATTCTTGTTTACTTTGGACACATTATCAGGAGGGAAAAATCCCTGGGGAAGCACATCCCACTTAGCAAAGTAGAAAGTCAACAACAAAAAGAGAAAAACTTTCAACAAGATGGACTTATGCAATGATCGCTACACTGGGATTAAATGCATCAACAATTGTGAGGCTGGCACAATTGTTTTTTTCTCTTAGACTGGCACCAAACAATAGCAGTGCAGAAGTGGGGTGAACTCACTCGGACCACTGGTGGCTTTCTAGTCCTGCTTCCAAAATGGTGGCTCGAATGTTAGCTTTAACGAAGCTGCTGACTTAGAGTGAGCAGAAAGGAATTAGAAAATGTGTACCTGCTGGTTAGTGTAATCTAGTCAATATCCTAACTTGATTAGGGATGTAAATAAATTATAAGAAGTTGAAACCCTTTTTCAATCAAGTAACAAGTGGATACTTATTCAAGTTCTGATTAATTCAGGATCATCTCAATTTTCGCATAGCATTTTATTTCTTGGAGAACAGAACAGCTTTGCTATTTTTATTGAAAATGAGCCCAGTGTAGTGGTGAGAACATAGGCATGAATGTTGGAGTTGGAATTGCTAAACGTGGCTGTCAATCCTGGGTTCACCACAGGGTCTTTAGCTTCTTAGAATATCGGTTTTTAAAGAAAGAAAAAAAGATCATGATGATGATGTCTACATCATTGAAACTAAATTAATTTTCAGCTTTATTTCTGAAAAGTTAGGAATGGATTCATAGATATGAAAATAATAATTGTGCTTTCTTATATCTGTCTGATGCACTGTTTCTACCTTGTAATGAATTTAGCCCAGTTTGATTTTTTATAACTCATTTGTCCCCTTTGTGCAGATAATCCAAGAATCATCTTCCTCCTTCTGTTTTACCTAATTTTATGATTATTGAAAGAAAGAAGAGGG